GGAATATTTGGCATGCGGCTGGCTTGTATGAAGCATTCCAGAAAGGTCCAGGATTTGGCCTTCAGAGAACACTAACGCAATTGTTGTACAACAGTGTAAGTATTTCATCGATAAAAAAAACAATGAGGCAATACAAATTGATAAATATCAATGGTATTTTGTAAACCATATCTCTCACGATGTAATATTCACATTTTATAGTTTTTTTTTTGTACATTTTCAACCGATACACAACGACGAGTCTTGTAGTGATCTATAACCAGCCATGTGATGGATTTGTATTCACTCCCCACCATTTATGAGGCCAAAAAGTTACCCATATATGACCTCTGTAAGTCTGCTGACCATGTTTGCTCCCAGAAATATATAAAAACAACACACCACCTGTGTGTATGCTTACTATTTGCGGCTAGCGATGCTTGGAATAGATAATACCAGGGCTTATTTCATCTGGAGCTTTCTGGGCTGAGCTCCAGAAAATAATCCCTCCCAAGCCTTCTCCTGCCCCGCTTGGGCAGGTCGATGGCTCCTGGAAATATTTAATGAGAAAGTCATCTCTGGATATATATATACGAACGAAACGTTTCCATATACACACATGTTAAACAATAGATAAGACACCGTGAACCCCACAGTGAAATTGAGAAAAGTTATCGACATGCAGTTATTTTCAAAGTGTTCATTACTCAGCTTGCAGCCTTAGCTCTTTATTGAGTTGCTACAGTCAATGGCATGCTTAACCGCTCATCGGGTTGCTCACCTCGCTTTCACGCTTCATAAATAGTTCTCCAAATGTCGAAAACAAAAACTTGTTGCGAACGACGTGGTGGCGAGTGCTGTCAGCGAGCACCTCAGTGAAAAACGAGCCACGCGTGAGTGTTGCTCAAACAGATCTACGATTGACAGTGCGCGCCTGTGGAAAGAGAACAGCACGCTTTGTCATCCCACCGGCTTGTAACTTTTTACCATTTGGGTGACTCAATGTGACATATTCTTAGGTGTTTTCGGTAAAGTCACGTAGGTAAAACATCAAAATTAATAAAATAATAAAATAAAAATAAAGATCACGACGTTTCGGAGGCAACACAAGTCTCCGTCATCAGGTGGGACAGTCACAGCCAGATCAGCTGCATCAAGTGAGGCAATGATTCAAGATGTAATCCCTTAAAAGCGAGTTGAGGGGGGAGGAGAGGGGGAGGGGCTCATCAGAATGTGGTAGCCAATGAATGGAAAGTATCGGGAGAGACGGGCCAAAAAAAGGGGTGGGTGACGGCGTGGAAGCTATTGTGCGCAAGCGACACACTGCTGCCCACGCCAACGCATTGGACAGAGAGGGGGGAGGGGGAGGTCTGATACACATGAGAAAAGAAATATGATTCCTTGCAGTCACGAAAGCTTCAAGTCTAGAATCAATGTGACATGCGGAGCCACAGGCATTTCCTCTGAACTTTTGAGGGGGTAGAATCATTCCATCGCATTAGGGGTCTGAGACAACCGCTGTGACGGTGCTGTGGCTATATTAACGCTTGTGTGCTGAAAGTCCGATTAGAATTCTTCGTAAATGTTATCCATCTTCGGTACAATGCCTGTCGTTGTCATTACTGGGCACATTTAATACATTGACCTAATTATCTCCAAAAGGTAGTTTGGCGGACGATGGCTGCAAGAAAACAACAAATATTACGTTTAATTGAAGCATACAAACATTCACAACATTATTTCGTGACCAAATTACGTCTCACCATCAATGTTACGTTAAAAATACTTATCCATTATTAATTTGAACCGACAGTGCGTATAACCACAAGGTGTATAATTGCGAAGCTAATGTGACAAGCAAGACAAATGCATTTTATGAAGCTGACTTTTTTCGAAGATTTCGGGAACATGCGTTCACCATTCCCCATGGTCTTGTGATGTCACAATTAATTTCACTCTGTTCGTGTCCACGAGGGAAATGAATTGCGATGAGATTTTTGCACATGAACTGATTTTACCACATGCATCGTTAGACGCTTTTGCAGTTTTACAAAAGCACTCCATCCTGCTTTCATTCACTATTTGTTGATGTATTTTTTTATATCAATCCACGTTCAATAATTGTCATACGTTTATATATTCTGCTGTGTTTTTCCAGTTGTGTGCTTCCAATTTTTTTACATTTTGTTTAGCAACTTGTACATTACTTATTTTGCTCATATGAATCTTGAACCAAACTTTACGGCTTTCTTTCGTATCGTTCATTGACATTGGTTGTTTTAATGACCACGTGGTTATAAAATCTGAGATGCCTAATCATTTCCCATTTACTTTTTTCAAAAATCCAATTTCAGAAAATATCTTCTCATTCTAATTTGTATTGTCGTCACGTTCATCTGCATTCTGAGTTGTAAAAGTTAAATCTTTAACAAATAGTCTCGATTAATTCTATGTATATATTGATCACATGAATGCTATCAACTACTGTATATTGATTTGAATTAGGAGAAACTGATGCAGGCATTACGAGCTCTTACAAATCAAGGCCAAACGGTTTTAAATATATATAAACCATAATTATCATGATCCTTGATGGCTTCGCAATTTCAATTCCACAGAGAGTATCACACAGCCACACACACTCACATGTTGCAATACTAGAGTGTGCAATACAACGTACACAAACACATAGCACAAAAACACTATATTAACATTATTACAGATGTAATCATATGTGTAATGCTTCCAAATAAGCCGAAAAATCAATACATTAACATTACGTCTAGTTATGATAATCAAAACGTCTGAATTTCCACTCAAGTATGCACAAAATCTACACGAATTTGTAAAACTCTTCTTGAATCAATATTTCAAAATTGGAAATTATCATGGAGTGTGTTCAATGTTCCGAATGAACCCAGGTTAAGAGTATAATCATATAAATTGGTTTTTACTTTCATAACCAATATTATGACGACCAATAATTGATTTATTTTGGGCTAATGCTCAAAGTATAATGTAATTTTGAGCTATGAGGGTTAGTTATAAATATTAGTAGGGTGGGGGATGGAGAGTTATTGTTTGTTACATTATAGTTGGGTAAATCTACTTAATTGAAGATATAAAAATGTACATGTATTTGTAAGGCACCTCCCACTAATATCTTAAGTTGTTTACATTATTGTCATTTACTCACGATTTACTTCGACTTTTTTTTTACCATTCTCAATTTGAACGAACGCAATAACACCGTAATGGAGTTAACCCATAGCCCGTGTTCGCCAATAATTAAGTACATTCACTTAGCTACACTATTTGAACTTTGTAAATTACAACCAAGCAGCAATCAGCTCTATCAAACGGGTTCACCTGCATAACTCTTCCCCATGGCGTCGTGGCGCCTACATCAGGTACCTTGAGCTCTTGCGAGCGCCTGGTGATGCTTGACCAAAGATTTTCGTTTGCGTTTCAACGTAACCGGTTTTTGCTGAAAAGGAAAACAATCATTTGGCAACACATGCCCACGTGACAACCCGATTTGATTTGGTCCTTGCCTTCGTCTCGCTCGTGGTGATGATTGCACACCACACCAGGTATTCATTTGAGGCTGAGTCTACCTAGAGGAGGCCCTGAACCAGTCAGATAATCGTCACCGGTTTTTGCATAGACCTCGGCTCGCCGGGTTTGTAGCAGACCGTGTTAACCACTGTGCAACCGCCCCAACAGAAATATTCATGGGTTCACAGAAATTCCCAATTTGCATTACACTTAATTCTTGCTACACCAATTAGCAATGCGCACTTCAATTTCAAGCACTGTGGACATATACTGTAGCGACATATATGGCATTAATTGGATTGGGTTGCTTAAAACACAACACGCAAATGGCTCCAATGTTAAATTACTGGTGTTAAGCAAGTCCATTGCATCATACAATTTGGCACCACCATATAAATGTTTATGTAAGTAGATTTTGTTGGCCAAGTCTGTATACACCACTTTAACGAAGTATGCACACAAAACACGAACTATTAAGCAAACCCTGTGATCTACATCGACGAACAGACCCGCCCACAGTGCACTCAATAATAACGATTTGAACAGATGGAATAATGTTTGCCAATGAGTTTACTCGTCCTCAATGTCCCCAAACAGTAGGACTCCGTGTTTTATTCTACGATGTTGTGCGGACCTTCCCCTCCCTGCAGTTTCAACACGCAGGCGTCAACCCCAGCGCGTGCTCTCTGATCGCACGCATCAGTAGTAACGTGTTTTTAATTATACTGGCGCATGCCCATGTTACAGCCCTTTTGTCAATCCGCCGCTGGATGAGGGCCGTGCGGTTAAATGTGGTTAGGTATTTGAGCGCACTTCACCACGCTGGTCAGCACGCGTTCGCGAAGGCGGTGAGCTTAGAAGGTTGAAGGATAGTAGAATACAACATTGGCCTCTTGCTGCACTGCCCGCTGCTGACGATGCAGTCCCGCGGCATTCTACGACGCCTGCTTTACGCATTGGTGGTCGACCATCCGAGCGCTGTGCAGGTTCACACCTGCTGAGCTTCCTAGATCTGACGAGAGCGGGCGCATTTCGGCGTGGGGGGGGGTCATAGCCTCATGGGCTTCGTGCTTAAGTACAGTACAGTACTTGTCCGTGCATTTGCACAACAAGCAGAATACGCGCGCGCTCCCACCTCGTATGCGCCATCTGTGTGCGTAATGCGTTCAGTTTAGTGAGGTTAAATACAACCGTAATTACGTTTTACGCACACCCAGGATGTACAAGCGTAATAAATCGTGGCAGTATCTCAACCGAGCGTATGGATCACTACCACTATCAAAATGAATAGACTACCACGGTACCCTACAAAGCCCATTGCGAGGGCAAGTCTATAAATAAAATATTTTTTTTCCGATGAAATGCATCTCAGCGGGTCGAACCGCCTCGTGACATCTTGAACAAGCAACACGCGTGGTGCAGAGTGTGCGCGAGGAACACTGCGGCCTCGTGAGCTCCGATGCTCAGCACAGCCGCTGCACGGCCGTGGTGCTGGGCAGGGTGTCGTCTCTCCGGTGGCACTCGTTCGAGCCCCGGTTGCGGGCCTGCTCGCTGCTATCCAGGGGCTGCAGGGGTATGGCCACGATGTCGTTGACGACCCTAGCCTCGCAGCGCTCGCGGGTGCGAGCCCCGGTGTGCAGAAAGGGACCGATCTGGCAATTGCGCGTCAGCGCGGCGGGGGATATTCTCCAGAACATCTCGTTGAGCACCTCGCGGAACTCGGTGCGCATGAGGCAGTAGATGATCGGGTTGAGGCAGCTGTTGGTGTGCGCCAGGCACACGCTGGCCGGGAACACGTACGTCTGTGCGGCGTAGAACGCCGAGCTGAAGGGCACCCTGTTGAACTTGACCAGCACGCCCCAGAGCGTGATGGCCTGGTTGGGGAGCCAGCAGATGAAGAACGAGAGCACGATGACCGTCACTGACTTGGTGACGCGTGACCGCTTCTTGGGGTTGTTGTTGTTGTTGAGCGTGTGCACTTTGAGGTAGCGCAGCAGCAGCAGGTAGCACACGCTGATGGTGAGCAGGGGCAACGCGAAGCCGAGCACAATCTTCTGGAGATGGTACAGCCCAAGCCAGAACTGCGCGCTGCTGACGGGACCGTGGAAGCGGACGAGGCACAGCTCCTCGCTGGACACGACCGCCGTCGTGGAATAGATGGCGTGCGGCAGCGTGGCGAGTCCAGCCGCGAGCCAGATGACCAGGTTGAGCCACATGGCCGTGCAAGCCGCGGGCCTTCTCCGCGCTTTCAGGGCCGAAGCGATGGACCAGTAGCGCGTGATGCAGATGACCGTCAGGAAGAAGACGCTCGCGTACATGTTCATGACGGTCAGCGACAGGATGAGCTTGCACATGACGAGCCCGAATGGCCAGGTCATATCCAGCGCCACCTCCACGGCCCAGAACGGCAGAGTGAGCACGAACTGAAAGTCCGTGACTGCCAGCCCGAACACCAGAGTGTTTATCGCCGATTTCTGCCACCGCTGCTTGCTCCTCATGAGGAAAATAACCAAGAAGTTGCCCACGAGTCCCAGGGCGCACACCAGCGAGTAGACTATGGAGATGATGATCCGAAGGCCAGCTGAGCCATCAGCCGGTACGTCGATGTCGTACAGAGTCACGTATCGCGGCGCTGTGAAGTTGATATTATACTTGGAGACGTTCGCGCCCGCAGAGGTCTTCACGCCGGTTAGCGACACTGGCTCCATTTGGATCCCTTTGTCCGATGCTCTGTGATTGCTTTGAGACCTACAACAACAATACCAATAGAGCGTGAATTGCCGCGTGTAGCGGGGCAGCCACTCACCGACGCATATCGCCTTGCGAATGAGCAAAATACCTGCGACTTGACTGACACCTGCAACGGGTCTTCGTCTGTCGAAAGCGCGGGTGCTTGAGAGCTTGACGCGAAGTTCGTTTCCCACCTGAGCAGACTGCCGATCGACAGTTGTAAGTGGCGCGTAAACAAAACAAAATCACATCGGTTGGGTCCTTAACCCACCGCGCTCGACTGGCTAACACCGTGCACGATAACACAATGCAGCTGACCAGTGCTCGGCAATCAATCGGCACGCAGCGCGGTAGCGTGCGCTGTCCGAGGTGCTGAAAGTAGCGAACAGGTTTCTCGGAAAAAAAGGCTTCTGTGATACACGGAATCAAACGATGTCAATTGGTCGTAACGTAATTCGTCAAATGTATGTTGTCTTCCGCACGAATAGCACACCAATTCGCAAAGAGAAACAAATCAATTCGGAACGCAGCTTCCCACCGTCAACACGCTGCAACTTACATCGCCGCGTGAAAGCGAGCGCACGAGCCGAGACTGAAAGTCCAACTGCAGGAGCAGCCCTGGCGAGCTGTGTTTATAAATCGCGCCTGCTCCCCTCCCCTCCCGCCCGACCTTCCCCCTCCTCCTCCGCCTTTCCCCCACTCGGAAGTGACCGTTTATCAGCAAGAAGCTCTGCAAGTTTTGGCTTTTACATATAGACTGTGTGAGAGCGAGTGTGTTAATGGTGAGTCAAGCGCAGTAATGCGGTGAGTTATTTTGACAACACACTTCAACTAGAACCTCTTAATATTTGTTTTGTTTAGCTACATGTTGACCACATGTTGACCGCTCATGGTGAGAGTCAAATGTAAATCTTTACTGTTGTGGAGTGTGTGTTTCCAGCAGCACTAGTAGCAGCGGGGTTTTCCCGATTTGTATTGGCTTAAGCGATACACCCCAACCGGAGATTGTCGTGGTTCTGGGGGGCTGCAATGGAGATTTTTATGGTGTTCTTTCCCTACTAGATGACCCTCTTGTCTGTAAGTTTTGGGTGCCAAAATTGGAAAAATGTCGGCTTTCAAACATGTATCGCTGCTAAAATAAACTCGACCTTGTTCGTGTTAAATTCTTGTTTTTGTATCTCTTCTACGACATCATAATTATTTACGTCAATTATTCAGTCGCAATCTTCTACGATCACTGTGTGCGTCATGAGCGAGTGTGTGCACAGATTGAAGAATAGGTTTCGGGGCAATTTGCTCGCCTGTCAGCTCGCTCTTCCGCCCCCCCCCCCAAATATGCCCTGTGGGTGGCAGCTTTGTATCATTATGTCCACTGCACCTGTAAGATGGATTGTTGACTTAATTGTAGATAATTTGTAATCTGGCCACTGCTAAACAAAATCAAAATTAAATACCCTCGTTACACTCTTTCATGGCAAAACATTATTAGCAATTAAACGTGATTACACTACAAATTGGTATTTGAATGTAAATCGTTTCATACAAGTGACAGCTAACAATAGTCCTAACGTGAGTACCTGACTCTATGCCAAGCTCAAATGTAATGGCAAAATCTTAAAATAGAATTCAAATCGTGTTGTGTTTTTTTTGCAGCAACCAGTGTTTTATTTTTTCTAACAATTGGCTCGAAATATAAAACGTACACGCGAAGCATGTTAAATCCATACAATAGATGACACCTTCACGTTTTAACTGTATCCTATTCATCTGTTTTGAGCGAATGTAACACGAAACTGCAAAGCTGGCCATTGAGTGACCTTGTTTTTTCTCGTTTGGTTGTTGTTTAAAAAAGAAATCACTAAATTAACCCCCGCGGAATGTTCCAAGCACCGTCGTGTTGGGTTGTCTTGGAACAACCCAACTGGCGTTTGTCTTCAACTTGTGAAGCCAGAGCGAATGGTCGGGAATAGCATCATTCCACTTGGGATTATGATGGAGAATTTTTTTTGTCAAATTTGATGGCATTTTTTTCTACACAGTGAAAAGTATAAGAATGTATACATATGATAAATGTGACCTTTGCTGTTCAATTGATCCACTATAGAGGTTAACTTTTGGTAACAACATATAAAGATTTAACACCCGTGAAAAAAAATTGGGGTGCAAAGACCGATTAAAGCAAACTGATTTCCTTTCCAAATGCATATCCAGTTTAATGTCGGCCTATTGATTAGCCTAGTGTAATTTTCCTCTGGCATGGCATAAACAAAAACACACGTTCTTTATGAAGGGAACATTCACAGGGAGTTTATTCTCTTTGTGTTCTGAACAAGGGCAATGACTGCGAATGTCAGTCTGCTGTATATTTTTTTTCTTGTTAGAAAGTAGTGTAAATAACACGCATGTGTTTTTTTGTATTTGCTCAATGCATTATCACATTTACATAAACTATCCAGATTACTTCCATCGTAAATTGTAGGATGAGTGGAAAAATAATAGAACTCGGCATGAAGACACCTAATTGGACATTGCCGTGAGCTTCGATAATTGCGTAATAATGTGCCTATTTGTGATAGGTAAAGTGTAGCCAGATAACACTTGAATATTTTGTTGTGTGGGATGAATGGATATAACATATTTTTTAAGTTACTAGAAATTGCACAAATGCATTGATTTGTTTGCACGAAGACACTTAAAACTATTGCATATCGACCATTAATGACCTCGAAACAGAACAGAGCCAGGGTATGGCGACGCGCTGATTCTCCCAGCGCACAATCGTGTGACTGTATTATGGATGCATACATCTTGTCAACATTTATTTAGTTTTGCCTAGGCAGTGCAACAAGCCATACCAAAATAAGCAAACCCAACCACGTTTAACAATGCACTTACAATCTACCTGTAGTCTTCGCAAAAAACATATCACCAAGTAATTGAAAGCTTTGTATCAATCTTGATTTGAAGCTTTCGTGACTGCAGGAATCCATAGTCTTTGGTTCTTTCGGTAAAGTCACGTTGGTATAAAATGAAATAAATCACAACGTTTCGGGCGCAACACAAGCGTCCGTAATCCTGTGAGAAAGAGTAAGCTTTGTATCGTAGAATTCCATAGACGTAACCTACGAGTCAGGGTGTGTCTCTTTGTACAGTACCTGGATAATACGAAATTGCACGTGTTTACCCACTGGCTTAAAGTGAGTTAGTAGACACAAACAAAGATCCCCGTATAGCCTTTAACAGACTGTTGAGGCAAGTGCTGTTAGTGAGTACCTATGGAGGCCGGCACGACACGCTTACGGCCAACACTAGTGACGATTATCTGAATCAGTCCTGAGCCTCCCAGCCTCGAATGAGTTAGTAGAGTCCGCTGATCATCACTCGTTCAGTGTAAATGGTCAGTGAATATCTCAATAATGATAGACCGTTAAAACTTCATGTTGATGTGCTGTCGCATATAACAGTGACACAACAAATATTACGTCTGTATGTAATGCCAATGCATTGCTTAGTAAATCACTGTGGCCAGCAGACGGCGCAATGACCGCATTACTGAGCAAAGCGATGCTTGGAGATCATTCAATTCCTGTGGATGTGACAACACCACAGCACGCTGGAGTGTAAACGCATCGCAAATTACATGGTTTTCATCGGCAATGAATGTTCTATGAACACATGAATGCATCGTATAATAAAATATAGAGCGTTTACCCTGGAATGTAAAAACAATATATCATAAAAATGCGATGTTCGGGATAGCTGGTAAAAAAAATACATTGATATTGCATTGATGCCGTTTTGAGCACATAGACTGGTCACATTTGCATATCTTATCAGTTAATATATTTATATCTCAAGGTGGCATATCTCTCACATGCCAATATATTCCCTATTGTGTCGAATTATCCTCCGACATTTATGAATATTCATTGTGAATTTGCATGATCCAGGGTTTGTGAAACACCACGAGTTCACCCTCTCTATTTAGCATCGATATGGATTGAGTAGCAACGGCGAATCGATGTCTAGGTTGTAATCCAACTGCCAGCATCAGACGACATGAGTGTAAACCACTTGTGTGCTTGTCCCACTGTTTGTTGCGGTGCGCCAGTCACACTTGGGTGAATTTTTATTTTCCCTTTGTGCAAAAGGTGATTGCACCTTCCGTGGCCGGTTCGGATGCAATGTGGATTAGGCAGCCCACTACTGGTGGGGCAGTGAGTCTCCTAATGGCTGCTGATGGTCTCACTCTCAATGAGCTGCTAATTCGGAATGACGTTTACTTTCTCCCAATTGTTCCTCCAATAGTCTAGAATTATGTGTTCCAGAATGTCTGACTTGATTCTAGGCGTTATAGTGGGAGATTGTTCACGTCTGTACGGGTGCGCTGGTCGGATAATTCCACCGAACGAGATACCAACCCACTATACACCGTCTTGCCCGTGGCACTCCGAAAGTATACCCTGAAGGCTTATCACACCAATAGTGCAGTACACTTGTAATTCAGAATAAGTCAAGGGAATTCGCTTCTGAACTTCATGAATTCAGCAGAGGCATTGAAGACATCCATTCAGTTCACCCAGAGGCTGCCCTTTGGCTATTAGACCTGAAAATGAATGGCTATACAATTGCGCACATAGGAAGCGTCTGGGAAATCCATACTGAGGCAAAGTACTTTTTTTTTTCATTGGGATGCTTTAGCAAATTCCATGGATGAATGTTTGACATGTGAGAGGAACACAATGTTTCTGGAGAAACTGCACAGAAGGGGATGACATTCAAAGTTCCGCAAACGCTGGTTGATACACTTTCCATACTGCTGGTCACCGTTATAGAGAGCGGATTTGGATATTCACAGATGTACATGATACACAAACCCTTGTCTCCAAGGTGCTAGCCTGGAGGCATGGACCATCACACCGTGATCGTAAACTGTTCTGATTTATACAGAACGCCCCTTCTCGACAGCGTTATATGAGGGGGGGGGGTATTATCGTGGATTTTATTATCTGTGAGTTTTTTCTCAAATTTTGTCCTGTTATACAGGGGGTAAACAATTATGGATGATGCACTGATAACAGGATGACATTTCTACACGACTTTTCTTATCTGCAAAAATATCGTGGATAATAGGAATAATGACGTGATGACCATTACCCATTGATAACATCATGGGCCATAGGATGAAATGTCCACGTGACAGCTCTTACAGTACCTGCGAACAATTTTTTTTAGAGATTAAAGATTTTAGGAATAATGACGTGATGACCATTACCCATTGATAACATCATAGGTAATAGGATGAAATGTCCACGTGACAGCTCTTGCAGTACCTGCGAACAAAAGTCGGACGTAATGAGTGTTTACAGCACAGCGGGGTCACTGAAGTTTATGCTGCTCACAGAATTACGGAGAGACACGTGTCTTGTGTGTCTCCGTGTGTGTCTGTGTGTGCGTGTATCTTCGTATGTGGGAAGCGGTAGTGCAGCGGTTAGCACGCTGCGTTACGTTCGATTCCCGCTCACGGCCAACACCAGTGACGATTATCTGAACCGGTCCTGGGGCTCCCCTAAGTCGACTCAGTCTCAAATGAGTACCTGGTGCAGTGTGTAAACATCGCCACTTGGGAGACAAAGGCGTAAAGGCGTGGTGTTGGCCACCCACCCCCTCGTGTGCTGTGCCGGCTTTCATAGGTGCTCGCTAACAGCACTGGCATCAGCCGTCTGTTCAGGGATATATGGGGCTCTTTGTATTTGTATATTCGTATAAGCCACTGAACAGTTTCGCGTGGCCTCAAAATTCGCCTAGTATGGCACAAGCGCCGCAGTCACCGCGACAAGAGAAGCATCTGGAAAATCCATACCGCGGCTGTTGTTGCGTCTCCATGTTTGACCTCGTCTCTGGCGCCGTGACTTTGTCTCATGGGCTCTCCGTGAGTGTATTCATGTCTGTGCCCCGTGTCCGAGTGTATTCGTGTCTGTGCCTCCGTGTCTCTGTGAGTGTATTCATGTCCGTTTCTCTCTGTCACACGATTATAGCAAAGTACTGTTCCAACCCGTGTGCAGATTTCGATTACGGGATTTTTTTTTAAATTGCAGACAATCGTGTGGCTATTTGGGGGATACAGCAATCGCTGCAGGATTTCTCATACGCTATTATGGGTAAAATCGTGGACAACTGCGGAAAATAGGAAGGAAGAGGGCCGCAGAGAAATGTCGTTCTGCATGAGCGACATTACCTCTCCCTGCTCATTTCGCTCTCTGCTCTCCACAAGTGGCCAGCCGCACACGCAACCATCGTTGACTGGTAACCTCATCCTCTGCTCGGTGGGAGGGGGTCGCGTGCCTTCCGCCTGTCTGGCTGAACTTCAAAGAGCACTTCTTCGCCTCTTCAAGTCCAGACTTGGGTTCCTTCCCGTCCTCACCTTCTGATCGTGATTTTTCTTTTTCAGTGTTTTCACTCATCACTCGCCAGTGATCCGCCTGTTCAAAATGCCTGCTGGCTTTGACCTCCGAAGGCGCGAGTGGTGTTCAGTTGAACCGCTGCCGGCGTGACCAGAGGGGTGCGTGTCGCTTCTGATCATCGATGGTCGGGCGGACTACGACGCCTACTCCGTGACAGCACCGTCATGTGGATGCGGGGAGCAGGAGACCAATGGCGCACAGACAATCGCCTCTGGCTGTGAAGTCCGTCATGGAGTGCCCGGGGTGACTGGATGCCCTGCGCGTGCTGGAGGAGGAGGCTGTCACGTGGCTCTGTGGTTACGTGGGATGACATCCACTCACACAAATATAACGTTGACAACGAAAATTATTAAATTTTTCTTGCATTTCTAGCTTTGTGACAGTCACGTGTCAAAGCATTCGCGAAATAAGATTCGCATCTTACCTTTCCAGACTTCTTCCATGTATACATACATTTGTTTATGTTATTGTGATTATTTTTACTCTTAGTTCTTTCGGTAAAGTCACGTAGATAGCAAATAAAAAATATAAATTTTAACAAAATAAATTTTTAAATAAATTAAATTTAAAATAAAGCAAAAACACAGCTTTGTCCGGACTTGTTTCAATGAGCCAGTAGCGATTGTAGCGACTGGACGAATCATTCCCAGAAATGAAACCTTCAAAATGTGTATTTTGTTTTATTTTTATTTTTTATTTTCTATCTACGTGACTTTACCGAAAAAACCAAGAGTATTAATTCCTGCAGTCACGAAAGTTTTAAGTCAAGATTATTATATCGTTTTAATTGGTAGTTCAATTCCAATTACGGCAATGACGCTGCTTGGCTTGGCAAACGCGTTCACGAACGTTAGTGATCAAATGTGTGATGCACGTCACACGTGGCAGGTCACATGAAATCCTCACTTGTTGAATATAATTTTTCAAGGCTTAATAGTACATCGCAATACTCGATTATGTTGTCATCGTTGCCAAACAAGCACATAGCAATTTTGGATAACAAAATGTAATTATTTTAGTACTGAAAAAAATGTGTATTCAGGGCATCACGTGACTTGGCGTGTTGTGTGTTTTTATTCCATCTGAATAGATTGATTGATTTCAATGCACGGAGACAGCGTTAGATTGTGCTAAATGTAATCATCATCAGTGATGATCAGTCCGCTGCTGGACGAAGGCCTGCCCAAGCCGTCGTTATCTCTAACAGTCTTATGATGCATCAATTAATTTAGCAACTGCACACGACCTGAACTTATCACTCCATCTCTGTTGCAGACGTCCATTCTGGCATGTTCCATCGTTTGGCTTCTACTCTGCCAGTCTTGGCAATCATTCATATCTAAGCAACGCATCTTGCCAGGGCGAACTTAATTGCCTCAAGACGAACACTTCCATCATTGTAATTTACCTGCAATTACATCGTTCGGAAACAATGGACATTTACAAAGGAAATGGAACGAAATTTGAAAAGTGCGCAAAGAAGAACAGAGAGGTTTACCTCTTCTTGGTTCTTTCGGTATAGTCACGTAGAAGGAAATAATAGAATAATAAAAATAAAACATAATAAATAATTCTCACGACGTTTCGGCCACAACGCAAGTAGCCGTCCTCAGGTGAAGAAACAGGTCTGTCGAGAAGACAGCATATTCACCTGAGGACGGCTACTTGCGTTGTGGCCGAAACGTCGTGAGAATTATTTTATTATGTTTTATTTTTATTATTCTATTATTTCCTTCTACGTGACTATACCGAAAGAACCAAGAAGATGAATCCCTGCAGTCACGAAAGCTTTAAATCGGGAGAGGTTTACGTTTGGCATTGTACTTAAATATAGTGATGCATGGATTAGAGGACAAATGCAAGTGAAAGTAATCATTGCATATTTACACCTTATTCGTACGGTGTCTCAAGATGTAGCAAACAGGCTGACACTTTATAAATATAACTGATATTCGAATGAAACTCTATATTAGACAATAATACATTTAATGATGTTTTTATCCCACCGCTATTATTTCCAGAATAGGCTTATAAAAGGCAAATATACATTTCTTTATTGCTTCATCCTGTTCGCTGCTCATCAAGTGTAATTTTGAAGCCTTTGTATTTAATACCTGCACACACAAAAACAATTTTCCCACACTCATTATGGGGCATTCAGAGTGTTCCATTCCATCGTGATTACAAAAGCTTCAAGATTAACTTTGTATGAGGCCATGGCCTTTATATTTGTATAGGCATTCTCAGACGAGATCATCTCGTGACTTTTTCGCTTGTTAAATGGCAATCATTGAAACTGGGCAATTACGGACATTTTCATTCTGTACTATATCTATAAGGAGGAGTACATCGGGTCAACTCTTGACTTAAATATGAAGGGCTAATTTTAAGTTCTGGAAATGTGCTATCGGCTTAACTTTGCCACAGTATAAAATGCTATTTACAAGAGAGCAGATTGTTTCGAGCTTGAATATCTTCATGATTTAAGTCTATTTGTGCAATGCTCAATGTGGCATTAAAATAAAATAAAAATCTATTAAACCTGGCATGTTTGGAATGACTATATAATGCCGTTCACTGGAAAAATGTTATAACTGATCATTTAATAGGGAGCAACGGCATTGAAACTCAAGTCCTGAAACTGTTCTTATGGTTATCCAAGTAAAGCTTGCAAAAGGCACCTATATTGCACAGTGCATGTTCGTGTATATTTAAACAACCTCATATATCGTAGAATATTGATTTGAAGCTTTCGTGACTGCAGGAATTCATACTTTTTGGTTATTTCGGTAAAGTCACGTAGGTATAAAATTAAATAAATCACGACGTTTCGGGCGCAACACGAGCATCCGTCATCAGGTTGGAAAGCATGGTCTGCTTCTGAGGCAGATTAAAACAGTCTGAGGCAGACTGTCTGAGGCAGACTGTTTTAGTCTGTTTTAGTCTGCATGTTTAGTCTGCCTCAGCAGCAGACCATGCTTTCCCACTGATGATGGATGCTTGTGTTGCGCCCGAAACGTCGTGATTTATTTTATTTTATACCTACGTGACTTTACCGAAAGAACCAAAGAGTATCGTAGAATATTTTTCAAGACCTCCCTTCACCCCCCTCCCTCCCAGACAATACACTCATAGTCCAGAGCGCCTGGACTAGCACCTAATATTGGTGGAGTTAATAGAAAAAAATGCATAAACACAACGATCCATCAGACCACATGGTTTTTTGCCAACATGACAATTGCGCACATAGGATACATTACACAAAGTGATGGAAAAGAAAGCCAATTTACTGCGTGCATAAGCTCCAAATCGGTGGTGTGCACACATATGCTACTCGAGGTGCTTCTTTGATAGTTAATGAAAGGTCACGTACGCCTCGATGATGTGTTGATGTGACGTTTCGAAGCCCTCAACTGCAGTGAATGTATTATGTAGGCTGAACGTTGCATTAATATAATACAGCAACAATGTATTACATACAAATACCCGACACAGCCAATTAGTAAGGTTGTCACGTAAACAGCACGTGCCAATTCGTTACTAGTACAGCACACCGGTGTGTTGGAGAGCAAATCCACAACATTTACAATCTGAGTACAATTTATTTGCTGTTCAAATGTAGCAATATCTTCAGGACAATTTGTGTAATATGTGCCTCAGAATATATCCGGGAACTTTCTGCAGAGGTGTTCATGGCGAATGAAGTATTGTAAGGCAATGTGTTACGTTTAAATAATTCTGCAGCACGAGGATATTGATCATTATGGAATAACACTCCTAATGACAGCTTAGAGGTAGGCGCAGTCATCCTAGTATAATAAATTAGGCGTCAGAAAATGTAATGCCCCTTGACGTATTGCTCACAATGTGTGCAGCTTATACAAGTCGACTGTGGCGTGTGCGGGAGATGCAAGCAATAACCGGAGAGCAACGCTCACCAATCCGTTTTCGGGTGGCATTACGTGTTTGGCATGTCTGACATTTAGCTCCATGTGCTGGGGGGGGGGGGCGCTTCTTCTTCTTCAGCATGTGGAGTGTCAAGTCGGACAGTCGTCACCGAAAAGCCCGCGGGACGAGCCTGCAGAGCAGAACATCTCGGCAGCGCAGATCGTGTGGAGCAACGCCGTTCATTTGGGGAGTTTCTCCACGCCTCTAGATGCACCGGCGAAAATGTGTGCATATTGTGTGCGTTGAGCGGGACACATTTTAAGGGTTATAGTGATGGTGCTAGTAAAAACCGCAGTGTTAAATGGACGAGGTGTGTGTGTGTTCAGAAATAGAGGAACATATTTAACAGCCCTTGTTATTTGACTAAAGGATGCTGCGTCACTCTCCATGTCTTATGTGTTTGTGTGGAAACTCTTTCTTTTCAATTTCACCTCAACACAAAAGCCCCGTCTCAATTCCTCTTACCTCACCTCATGTTACTCACGCCCAACGCTGCCCCTCACACTGAGTT